TTTTTATTTGAACAGCTTTCCTTTCCTGACATGATTCTTGAACCTTATTTATAACAAATGTAAATGTTCGGTACTTGTATAGCACCTTTCTAGTCTTTTCGACCACTCAAAGCGCTTTTACACTACATCTGCATTCACCAGTCATACACATTCATACACTGAGCCTAAGTGCTCAAACGGAAACTAGCATTCACACTCACTCATACACGCCAGGGGGTTCAGTATCTTGCCCAAGGACACTTCGACACGCAACCTGGGGGGAGCCAGGGATTGAACCGCCGACCTTCCGATAAATGGCCAACCCGCTCTACCTCCTGAGCCGTAGCCACCCAACAACACAGCACATACCCAACCTGTTCATCATTGTTTACACTCCCTTACCATCATCATTTTATCAATAGCTTTCAAAAATATTTGCCCCTTCTGTTACCTTCAGCTGTGGAGATCTCCGTTCTTCTTCCCTGCCTTTTCTGGGCCCTGGACATTTTTCTTTCTGGCTGACCTTTCAGAGCTGGTCCAGAAATCTGCTTGTTCCTTCTTTTTCTTTTTAGATGAAGATATCTCTCCCTCAGTTGGTACTTTTTGCTCACAGGGTCCTTTGTTTCCTCAAAATGGAGCTGCTTCCCTCTGTGTTTGAAATGACCCTCTCCATTCCCTTCACAAGTGCAGCATTCACACTTTTCATTTTGATCCCCAAAAAAGCTGGAACCATAGTAACACGTAATCTCCTCCCCAGGTGAGATTGGTCGAATCACTTCAACATAAGCGATATTCTTCTCACTAGCAAGAAACTTGCAGTTTGGTTTACAGTCATGGTTTATGAAAGCTGCAGGCCCAAGCCACAGCTGAGCAGAATGTTTGCGCATTGAATACATCACGCTGAAGTCATTGATTCCTGCCTTCAGAACATTGCTGTCAGCAGGGCTAAACTCTGCTATGCAGCCCAGCAAGACCTCAATACGTTGTCCTGCAAACCAGTGCCTTGTAGAGGTTACCTTTGCTCCATTGTCTCTGAAGAGTATCTCGCACAGGACTCTATCTTGACACCACTGTCCAACAGGAAGGCACTGAAGTAGCGATAAACATGTTCCCTCAGTAGGTCTTGATGATGGCTTCCCAGAGAATTAAAACAGTCACCAGCCAGTTTTGTCAGCGCCTCAAAAGTCTTGTTGAAGTCATGTGTATTCTCAAATTGCACCAAAGTTTCTTTGAGATTACCCCAATGTTGTATCTCTGGTAGAGGACTGATATTCATTTTATGGGTTCTGAAGCCAAGCAGAGGGTCCAACACCAAAGCAGTTGCCAGGTCATTGGTCTCACACAGTTCCTTCACACTCATTCTGGTACATCTGTCCATTTTTCCCCACAGTCAGCATGCTGGGAATCAACATAAATCTGTTAGATAGATAGAACATCACAGTTTTTTGCTGTGTCTTTTCGATTTCAATCTATAAACTAAGTCAATGGTAAATTGAAATTTGGAAAATAAATTGACATTCCACATTTACATCTATGTGATAATATTTAAATTTTTAACAGAAAATGCAATAAAAACTACTTTTTACAAGTTCAAAAATGCATAAAACATAACATTGGGATGTAACTCACTGAAATAAGACAACACAAACCAATTATCAACACTTTTGTATGAGAAAAATATATAAATTAGCTGAGCTGAGATTTGCTCACCATGTGCCCAATGCTCCTGCTGAATTCTACTTCCTGTTGACAAAGGAAGTCCATTTTTTCATCTACAGACATTATACAATAGATTGAAACATGGAAGGAAATAACATTGATTAAATTTAAACATTTAAAGTGGACGTTTTTCTTATGTGTCTTACTCCGCAGCTTACCCCCAACTCCTCCTTTAAAATACTACGTACCAACATGCCAGGGAACACTGTGCCTTGGCATGTCAGCCGTAGTTGATTTAAAAATGATGATGATTGCTATATAACTTGCTTGAATGAATAGGCTATCTACGTTATGGTTTAAAGATTGTTTAATAATTTAATATTGTGAACATTATCAACATGGTGTGCCTATCGTGCTGAAACTGTCGAGATACTATGCAAAAGCTCATTTCATCTCATTAGAGCAGGCTTAAACCTAAATACCTAACATTTAAAAGCTCTCAGAGGCCAGCCTGCGGTTAAAAGTGAAAAGTTATCAAAAAATATAATTCAGTTATGATTTTGACACATATTGTACAGATTCCTAGGAGCTGCCCCCCACTGGATGACTCCAAAATAATCCCATTGGCCAAAGAGGTGACCAAAAACGACTGCTGGAACAATATCTGCATACCCACCTTGGCAAATATCATGATTCCACTATTCAAACACAGTGTATCAAAATATGGAATCACAAATTTACTCACAGAAATGGTGACAGGCAATGCCATATGGCCTCAAATGTGCCCATTCTTTCTGTAAAGACCATGTGGGCATCCAAATTAAGGTACATGCAATTAGACCACTCTCTCCATCTGCCTTTGAAGTGTTAACCTTTAATGTATTTCCCTTTCAGTAGATGAGAATCTGGAAAAATTTGGTCCCTTCATAACTCATTGATACCACTTCTTCAAGCTTCTATTGACACTTGAAATCAACCCGTTCCTTCAGCCAGTTGTTGAAATATCAGCCTTTGAAGTGAACCCAAAATGGCATCCATATAATGCAAAAGATGAGAATCTGGAATCATTTTGTGCCTCAATAACTCATTGACACTTTTACCTAGAGTAATGCAGACACCTGTATGTGAAACAGCAGTCTTCAAGCTTTAAGCGGTACTTGAAATCAACCCCTTCTTTCAATTAGTTCTTGATATATCAGCTTCTGAATTGCACCCAAAATGTCATCCATGTAATGCAAAACAGGAGAATCTGAAATCATTTGGTCCCTCAATAACTCATTGATTCTTGTAGCTGGAATGATGCAGCAACCTGAATGTGATCCAGCAGGCTTCAATCTTTTATTGGCATTTGAAATGAACTCCTTCCTTCAACCAGTTATTGACATATCAGCTTTTGAAGTGCACCCAAAGTGTAGTCGATCCTTTGGACTTGAGAATATAGAATGTTTTGGTTTCTTTATTAGCTCATCATCACTTGTGCTACTTGAAACACAGGCAATGGTCACAAATCCCATTTTCACATCCTGTTCATGAATACATGGAACGGAAGAAATTAACCCACAGTACTGGTTCAAGGCAACTCCAAATGGGCAGAGACGTGACCATACCTTTTGGTTGTGACCATGCATACATCCTGCATAGGTAAATACGGTGCCACAATAAATTTTCTTAGTATGAAAGTTTGTAATGAGTGACAGTTAGCCACACAGACCCAGGTAAGAACAAATGGCATTAATCGTTGCCCTGATTTCTGCAGACACCATATGGGCATCGCCATTTAGGTACTTGGACCCAGACCACTCTCTCCCTCTGTCTTTAAAGTGCTAGCCTTTCATGTAACTCCAGATTTGCATATTTAGCCCACTAAATGGATGAGAATCTGGAATCATTTGGTGCCTTACTAACTCATCATTACATGTACCTACAGTCATGCAGACACCTGTCCTTTATACAGGAGTCTTCCAACTTTTATAACTACTTGAAATAAAACCGTTCCTTCAATAACTTTTTTGAAATATCAGCCTTTGAAGTGGACCCAAAATTCCATCCACGTAATGCAATAGATAGGAATCTGGAATCATTTGGTCCCTCAATGACTCACGGATACTTGCGTCTAGAATTGTGGACACACTTGTATGTGATACAGCAGTTGTCAAGCTTCTACTGGTACTTTGAATCAACCCGTTCCGTCGATCAGTTTTAGAAATTTTAGCCTTTGAAGAGCACCGAAAATTTCATCCATATAATGCAATACATTCAAATCTGGAATCACTTTGCCCCTAAAAAACTCATCATTAATTGTGCCTGGAGTGATGCAGCGACCTGTATGTGATAAGGTACTCTAATAGCTCCCGCTGGTACTTAGAATCATTTTTCTATCTCCATCTGTCTTTAAAATATAGCCCTTCAAACTGATTCCAGATTTGAATCTATGGTCCACTAAATAGTTGAGAATCTGGAATCATTTGGCCCCTTAATAACTCATCATTATTTGAGACTAGAGTGATGCAGCCACCTGTATGTGGTAAAGCACTCTAATAGCTCCCACCGGTACATGGAATGAGGTTTCTCTCTCTTTCCGTCTTTGCAATATTGGCCTTCAAAGTCATTCCAGATTTGCATTTATGCGCAATCAATAGATGAGAATCTGGAATGATTTCTTCCCTTAATAACTCATCATTAATTGTGACTAGAGCGATGCAGCCACCTGTATGTGGTAAGGCACTCTTAAACCTCCCAGTGGTACATGGAATGAGGTTTCTCTCTCTTTCTGTCTTTGCAGAATTGGCCTTCAAAGTCATTCCAGATTTGCATCTATGGTGCACTCAAAAGATGAGAATCTGGAATGATTTGGTCCCTTAATAACTCCTTGATGCTTGTACCTACAGTGATGCAAACACCTGTCCTTGATACCAGAGTTTTCCACCTTTTATTGACACTTGAAATCAACCCGTTCCTTCAACCAGTTGTTGAAATATCAGCCTCTGAAGTGAACCCAAAATGGCATCCATATAATGCAAAAGATGAGAATCTGGAATCATTTTGTGCCTCAATAACTCATTGACACTTTTACCTAGAATGATGCAGACACCTGTATGTGAAACAACAGTCTTCAAGCTTTAAGTGGTACTTAAAATCAACCCGTTCTTTCAATTAGTTCTTGATATTTCAGCTTTGGAATTGCACTCAAAATGTCATCCATCATTTGGTCCCTCATTTACTCATCAATACTTTCCCGTGGAGTGATGTAGCCACCTGTTATTGAAACAACAATCTACTGACAACTTATCATTACATTTACTTATAATAAGCAGAACAACTTTATAAAGAAATGGCCCAAATATGAGGCAGACACAAGCATGTTGACTGGTCTGTAAAATTTATTAAATTAAATTCTGCTGAGATCTGCTGAGAAATTTACATTATTGCATTATAAAAAAAGTCAAAACTTATGTGTGTGTATGTATGAGCACGACTATGTAACAAAAAGACTAAAATTACAAACATAAAAATCAAATCAAACAAATCAAAGCGTCAGCGTTTTTTCTCCTTTTAAAGATAAACAAACATATTACTCAAAACTCTTAAACATGATTATTCCCAACCAGAGCTAATCACATCCTTCGGGCACTGTTTTTTACTGTCCTGTAACAAGGGACATGAACAAACCCTGAACCCCTCTTCTGATGGGGTTCGTGGCATAAACTCCTGGGTCCACCTGCAAATTAAATTCTGCTGAGATATGTTTTTAGGTTAAATTTACATTATTATTGCATTATTTAAAAAAAGTCAAAACTTATGTGTGCATGTCTGTGCATGTGCACCTGTGTGCTTGTGTGTGTATGTATGAGCATGTGTGTGTGAACGACTATGTAACGAAAAGACTAAAATTACAAACATAAAAATCAAATCAAACAAATCAAAGCGTCAGCATTCTTTCTCCTTTTAAAGATAAAAGAACATATTACTCAAAACTCTTAAACATGATTATTCCCAACCAGAGCTAATCACATCCTTCGGGCACTGTTTTTTACTGTCCTGTAACAAGGGACATGAACAAACCCTAAACACCTCTTCTGATGCGGTTTGTGGCACAAACTCCTGGTTCCACCTGCATCATGGGTTTTTGAGCACATGCCAAGTCCGGCCTGGCTAGGGCTTCTTCACCTCCTCTGCTTGGCATCTGGTCTTTTGGTGTTTCTGGTACCAACTCTGGTGTCTCCTGGATCGTAGGAATTGGAAAATATCCTGGCTCCAGTCCCGGTGGGGTTTGTTCAGCCTTATCTTGCATTTGTGGCATCCGGTTGGGAGTCTGCTGCAGGAGGTTCACGGGTTCTGACTCTTTCCCTGGGACCTGCTCAGTTGGGGGCGCTGACACACTATCTTTGGTCTTGGCAGTGAGGGGCTCCATTTCTATTCAGTAATTGCTGAATCTGGTTGAACTAGGAATTAGAACACAATCATAAGAATACAAAATAAAGTTTTTTTCATTTCATTTAATGAATCAAGTGGAAGGTAGATTGACATTTGGAAATAAAATTTACATTCCAAATTTTCATCTATGTCATTGAAGTGATCGTTTTCAACAGAAAAAGCAACAAAATTACTTTAAAAAAGTGAGGGGCTCCATTACTTTTCAGTAATTACTGAATCTGGATGAACTAGGAAGTTGAACACAAATATAAGAATACAAAATAAAGCTGCAAGCTTTTTTTAAATTTCATTTCATGAATTAAGTGGAAGGTAGGCTGAAATTTGGAAATAAAATTTACATTCCACATTTTATCAGAAAAAGCAATGAAATTTCCTTTTAAATGTTAAAAAAATGCATAAAAACATGATACTGGCATTTTTCTCACTGAAATACAACAAAATAGACCAAGTATCAACGCTTTTAGCATGAGAAACTCGATAAATTACAGAGCTGACACTTACTCACCATGCGGTCCGTGCTCCTGCTGCAGCTTCTACTTCCTGTTGACAGAGGAAGTCCATGTTTTCATCTACATGCATTCATTATACTATAGATTGAATCACGGAAGGTAAGAACATTGTTGATTAAATTTAAACATGGAAACTAGTTTCATTTTTTATTTTTTCTACTTACTGTGACAAAGGAAGTAGAAAATTGTGAACTGGTTTTATGTTTCATGTTAATGGTTACTAAAATATTAAATACACAACACCTGCACATTCTGTATGAGTTTTAAATAATTATTTTACAATGTTAATTCCAGGCTTTTCTAGTGGACCATTTCCCATGAATCTATGTCATCAAGCAGTGTTTAAGCTTTTATTGGTACGTGAAATCAACCAATTCCATTCCGTTTTTTTGAAGTGCACCCAAGATGTCATCCATCTTTTGCAATTGAGAATTTTGAATTTTTTGTGCCCTTATTAATCATCATCAAATTTCACTACAGTGATGCATCTACCTGTCCTGGATGCAACAGTCTACAACCTTCAATTTGAACTTTGAACGCAGGCAAATGTCATGACTGTGTTTGTTTATTGTGTGTATATTTGCGTTGTCTCCGCTATAGCCTGTCTTATTTTATTATTTTATAAGTAAACACATGGTGAGCATTGTAAAATCCATAGTCAAATTCCTCATATGTGTACACATACCTTGCAATAAAGCCGATTCTGATTCCTATTCTGATTCCCCAATTCACATCCTGTGCATAAATCTATGGAATGGGAAAAATTAACTCACAGTGCTGGTGCTAGAAAACTCCATATGGGCTGAAATGTGTCCAAACCTTTTGCTGTGACCACAAAGGCAAATCAATATTCTCAGTATGAAAGTTAAGAACAGATGGTCTTAAATGTTGCCCTGATTTGTGCAGACACCATGTGGGAATTTACTTTTTAGGTTCTTCAGACCACTCTCACCCTCTGTCTTTACATTGCTAGCTTTTAATTTATTTCCAGATTTGCATATTTAGTGCATTCAATAGATTTAAATCTGGAATCATTAGGTGCCTTACTAAGTCATCAACACATTTACCTAGAGTGGTGTACTCACCTGTGTGTGATAAAGCACTCTAAAAGCTTCCAGTGGTACTCAGCCTAAATATAGGCTTTCAAAATGATTCCAGATTTGAATCTATGGCTCACTTAATAGATGAGAATCTGGAATCATTTGGTTCCTCAATAACTCGTCGATACTTTCACTTGGAGTGATGCTGCCACCTGTTATTGAAACAGCAATCTACAGGCTTCCTTTGGTAATTGGAATCAGACTGCTTTCTCCATCTGTGTTTAAAATGTCAACTTTTGAAGTTATTCCACTTTTGGAAAAATGGATAACTCAATAGATGAGAATATGAACATTTTTCATCCTTGAATAACTACAAATTGTATAACCCTAGAGTGTTGCAGTCACCTGTTGTTGATGCAAACATCTACAAGCTTCCATGGGTACTGTAAATAAGCTCATTAGGTCAATCTGACTTTGAAACAACAGCCATTGAAATACATCCACAATGTCATTCATCTAATTCATAAAATGAGAATTTTGAATTATTTGGTTTATCAACAACTCATCATTACTTGTAGCTAGAGTTATACAGCATCTACAAGTGTCTGTTGGTACTTGGAATCAGCCTGCTCTCTCCCTTAATCCTTTACATATTAGACTTTGAAGTACTTTCAGTTGCTCATCTATGACTATTCCAATATATAACAATTTAAAGAGCAGAGGGTCTTGACAACTCATCATTACATTTACTTGAGAGTGAGAATGAGCAGAACAACTATAAAGAAAAGGCTCAAATAAGAGGCAAACACAAGCATGTAGACTGGTCTTGGAAAAATTTACTTGAATAATTCTGCTGAGATATATTTTTTAAGTAAAATTTACATTATAATTAAAAGTAAAAATGTGTGTGTGCATGTCTGTGCATGTGCACCTGTGTGCTTGTGCGTGTGAGCAAGTGTGTGTGTAACAGACTACCTAGACCAACTTGCAATTTAACAAAAAGAGAAACTGTAAATTATAAACAAAAAAATTAAATAAATCAAAGCGTCAGCATTCTTTCTCCTTTTAAAGATAAATGAACATATTACTCTAAAACTCTTAAACATGATTATTCCCAACCAGAGCTAATCACATCTTTGGGGCACTGTGTTTTACTTTCTTGTAACAAGGAACATGCCCTAAACACCTCCTCTGATGGCGTTCTTGGTATCAACTCCTGTGTCACCTGCATGATGGGTTTTTGAGCACATGCCAGGGTCCTGCCTGGCTAGGGCTTCTGAACCTCCTCTGCTTGGGTTTGTGGCATCTGGTCTTCAGGTGTTTCTGGTATCAACTCTGTTGTCTCCTGGATCATAGGATCTGGAACACACCCTGGGTCCTGTCTCGAAGGGCTTTGTTCATCCTTCTCTTGTGTTTCTAGCATGCAGTTGGGAGTCTGCTGCACGAGGCTCAGGGGTGCTGACACTTTCCCTGGGACCTGCTCAGTTGGGTACTCATCTGTGGTCTTGGCAGTGAGGGGCTCAGGGGCTCTATTTGGTTCCTCCTGAACTTTCTGTGCTGCTTGGAACCTGGTGCTCTGCTCAGCCAGGTGCGCAGGTATGTTCTTTGGGTCGGCAAGGGGTGCTTGCCTCGGCAGGGCATTGGAAAGATTTGCTTTGATGAGATAATAGTCAGCAACTGCTGGCCGCAACTTCTCAATAACACAAAAACACTTTGAAGGTGTGTAGACATGTATTTTTGAGACTGCAGATTCTTCACTTAAGAAATCCAATTCCCTCCTGGACGTGTGAGGAGGAGCAGGAGGAAGGCTGTTCTGAAAAACAAAGAAATAAAACATAAACAGCTACAACTTCAAAATCAATCCTATATCCAGATTCTACCTTGCATTAAGTACTTACTTGAGTAGAAAGACTGCTCTCGATCTTGGGAAAGATGAATGTGCCCTTCATTCCACAGTCTGCCCAAGCCAGATGAAGGAAGTTCTCGGCCTTAGCGATCTTTTTTCCAAATGTTGTGTGGAAAACATAATCACTGGTCTGACCTTGGGGACAGCACTTGGAGTTGACAAGGTTTTCCAGCCACCTAAATTCCTCCTCATTTAGGTTGAATGCAGCCTGACCAAATGACTGCATGGTTTTCTGGTCGTCAATCTTGCAAAATAAAACATGTCATCAATGACTGGTTGTTTTAGCTAGGGAGATCCCACCACCTGTCTTTAATACAGCAATTCAGACATCTAAAAGCTTGCATTGGTACTTGGAAACAAACTGCTCGCTCCTTCTGTCTCAAATATCAGCCTTCAAATCCTTGATTCCCCACCAGTAATAAAAAAAACAAATGAGCAGTGTTTCCACATTATTTTATCACCAGAATTTATCTATTGTTTTATTTAAAATGTTTGCACCCATTTTTATTTTTAAATTAGAAAATTTTTTGAAACTGCATTAACCCCTCAGCTTTCAATTGAAATGTGCACTAAAGATGGTTTCACTTAGGAAGGGATGACATGTAGTCCAGGTTAAAAGTCCAGCCCAGCGTAAATTACCACCTGAAAAATAGAGGTACTAACCAGAACTTGGAATCTCTTGCCATGATTCCAACAGACAAAGTTGACCACATTTTCCTTTGTCATGTTGGTGAGGACAACCGATCTGTGTCCGGTGAGGGTGCACAGGTAGCCCATGATGTAGCCCATTAGCTTAGAATGCTCATTCTTCTGATTTCCACTGCTCTCCAGTTGTTCTACAAAACATCATGAAAAAAAATGTTGGTTGTGAATGTAAGCAACCAAAACAAAAAATAAAAAATAAGTCTACATACCAAACAATTTAGGAATGTTTTCCCTGGCAGCTGTCATGAAAGCACTTTGCTGAACTGCATGAAGCTGATCATCTGTGAAAACAATGCAACATACACCACAGTCATTGAGGATCCAATCTGAAATTTCTTTAGATAACAAGACAAAAAAGAACTTGACAAAATTTACCTGTTTTACGACACAACCGCTTTTGCCGAGAATGAACCCGTAGTCTTTGAATCTCAGCCTGGATCCTCTTCAACTCGTGCAGAATTGTTTTTAATTCATTCTGTTTGAGCTTGCCTTTACTCAGGAAGGACTTTTCAATGTGCTTGAAAAACATAGTCACGTTGGTCAACATGTTTTTCATTGTTGCAGGTGCGTAGCCCTTCTGGACCAGGTATGTTGGCCAACTATGGAAAAAGGTAAGCAGTTGCAATCCACTCTTACTTTCAAGTCCACCATCACATTTGACATTTCATATTTACATCTATTTCACAACATCAGAGATCACAATTTGGAATCCATCGATAAGATTTGGGGAGTAATTTGTGCCTAAATCT